ATTTTTCACATAGGCTTTTTAACATTGGCTTTGGTGGAACTCTGTTCCATAGGGAATCTCAGATAAGATTTTTTTAAAGCCGAGCCCAGCCATGTGCTTGTACCTCAAATACCTATGAGCTGGGAAAATTCCTCTTCTCTTGAGGTCCCAGGATAACTTGGGGCTCCTAGGCCTGTTAGAAAGTGACATTCTTTTCTTACCACAGGTCAGGAACCTTGTACAGGGACTGTGTAGACAGAGTATGAGGCCAGATTTCCCTAGGGGCTGTTATTGGCTCTATAAGTCAACCTTGATTATTTAAAGAAAGTATGCCATTCCAGTCAAAGTCTTGGTAAAATAACCAATTTCTCCAATTGTGTCCTGTTACAAAAGAAGATTCTTATTGCACTTATGCAAATAACTATACTGCCATAAGTTGAGAATACTCACAACTAGTTTCCAAATTCTGGATAAATTAGGTAGAGAAACAAATATGCTCCAAATTTTGTTCATAGGAATATATTTTACTAAATTGTTAAAAGCTGTAAATAGCTCAAAAGTTTTCTTGGCTCTGGAAACAAAAAGGATCAGCAATGTTTTATGCAAAAAAGTCAGAAAAAGATTACTTTAGTCTTCTAATAGTTCAGTTAACCCCTGTTCTGCTTGATATTCATGAATATTTCAGCTCTCCATGGGAGTCTTGGAAGTTTTTTCTCTTTATTCTAATGTCATAATCCCCAAAGTTATAAGAAACTTGCATTCAAGAGCACCTGTCAATGTTTTATAGCTGATTAGGAAACCACCATTTAAAGAGGATCAAAATAAGGCAACATTGCCTATGGATGACAAAAAATCTTAAGGCAGCCATAGTTAAAGACACAATTAACAAGAAAATGTGTTACCTCTGTGGCACACAATAATTTAACATAATTATAATTCTTAATGATATCATATACTATGTCATATCAGAAGTGTAGGAGTTTCACATAATTTTGGAGCATATACCTATAACACATTTACACAAATATAGCCCAAAGAAAGCCAAACACCATTTTAAATTTGACAGTGCTTCCTGTATGATTTTTATACCAAATAAGCCAACACATCATTTTTGGACTTCAGGGGACCTAATGTCTAAAGGATTAATTAGGTCAGAAAGTGACATACTTTATAATTTGATTTTGGAAAGTTTGTCAGATATCAAAGGCATAAAACATTGGATATCACAAAATGGGATCACAGTTTATTTACTTATCCGAGGTGGTAACTCAAAAAAAATATTTTTAAAGCAAAACCCTTTACTCTGATAGAAGAGTTTTAGTTTTCCAAACAAGACCCAATGGAGATAGCAAGAGGCCAACTAATATCTTGTCCTTCCTCCCCCTTTTTCCCTGCCATTTACCCAAAGGGGCAAAAACCCCCCTTTCATTATCTTTTAATATTACATAAAAATCTTTTTCAAATGAGAAAACCAAATTTCATGTTTGCATTAGTGCATCTTCAATGTTAAAGCTAGTTTTTTAAATAAAATATTATAAATCTATATAGTTTAAATTAGTTTGACCATAAGGTAATATTTTTATAAACTTTTTTAGAACCCTTTACAGTTTTCTCCATAGAGCTCTTTTTTTTCTAAAGAAAAATTCTTTTAAATTTCTTGTTACCAGACTCTAGCCAGAAGAGCCAATATTTCTGGCTTTTGAATTCTACCACAAGTAACTTTCCACATGAAATTAATAACTTTTAACTAAGGTTATAACTTAACCATGGATGCATAAAGTGTTTTAAAGAGATGGTAAGCATTTTTTTAAAAAAGAAGATTTATAATCTCCCCAAGGATAGTTCAGAGAAAGGAAAATTCAAGACAGGAAATCAGAAGTGATTGTTGAGGGGAAAAAAACCTTAATATGTGGCAAATTTACACACATAATAAACCAGAGAGAAATTATTCCGGAAGCCAAGAATTGAATCTGGACTACCATTGTCAAAAAACAAAGCCTTAGCTACTGAGCTACACAGCATTGAGCAGTTTCTATTCCTCTTCCCAGAAGAAGTCTAGAGCAGTCAATTTCAAGCTTGCAAAGGCTCTTGATTGCTTAAGATAATTTTAGGGCTATGATATGAACCGTAAAATTTCTGTCCTCTGGATGGCAGAAACCAAGGGAAAGTATCCCCACATGGTTGCAAGGTTTAAGTTCTTAAGGACACAAAACAAGATAGAGAAATTTCATCCAGTATTGGTTTCAGGGACCCACAGCAAAGTTTGTAAATGACCAGCCTGCTGGGGCTGGCTTGAAAAGCAGCCTTATAGGGGCCCTAAACCCTCATTGTATCCTGTGATACCTATTACAGAATAACACAGGAAGACAAATTCTTAGCACACAGCACACCAGATTTGCTACAGCCTAAGGCTAGTTTCACAAATCCTTTCTTCTATCAATCAGACTCATGCAGAGGAGACAAATAGTGATGTCTACCATTTACATACACACATAGAGAAGGAGCGAGAAAGAGACCAGAAACTTGGCTGGTAAGAATTTCATATGCTTTTTTTTTTTTTTTTGCTGGCATACCAGGTTTCTAGGTTCTTTTTCTCTGCAGCTTCCAGAAGAATGGAGCAACTTTTGATGATCCTGCTTGATGTGCCATAGCTGTGGGGTTCCAGCCACTTTACAAAAGCCACTTTTTCTGTCTTATGGAATCATAGACAAAAGATTCTCAATTTTGCAAGATGTTGCCTAATGGGCTGCATGAGGAACCGAATTAACATTTTCCATTCTAGCAAAATACACATAACAAAACAGACACCAGTCACCTCATTCAGCATCCAATATCAACCTGTCAAAGCTCAAACTTTCTCCTGTTGGTCCCCTGTTGACTTTGATCTGCTCTAGGTGGGGAAGGATGACCTCTGAATGGTAATTCACAACGGGTGGTCTCTGGGCAAGGTGAAGAGTGGATAGTCACCCTGAGACAGGCCTGTTGAGCATTCTTTCAGGCTCATGGAATGTAACCAGACAAGGAAAGTTCTCTGAGTTAGGACTGTGGAACTTCTGTAGACAATTCCTTCTGAGATCCCCTCCACATGTACAAACGTGCGCTAAGACAAGAAAGACAGAAGGCCTTCCAAATCAGATTCCTAATCAAGAACTCCAAGAGTATCTCATCCAAACTATCCTCCTATTCTCAGTCTGAGAAATCTCCCTGAAATCTTCCTGACTGAGGAGAAGTCTCCTGAACCAAGACTTCCTACTAGTTAGGGAGAGCCAACCATGACTCCCCAGGAGCTGAACTGAGACAGACACTCCCCAGTGGGGTTATAGACAAACCAAGACCCCCGAAGGAGCTGAATTGAGATAGACATCCCATGGTGGAGCTACAAACAGATACCCCACAATGGGGCTGTGGACAGACACCCCATCATGGGGCTACAGAACCATTTGGGAGAAGGAAGGAGGCATTGGCAGTGCCTAGGATACTCACCAAACCAGACACCTTGTAATGGGGTTACAGCTACAGACACTCTGCCATGGAGCTATAGATACCCTGTGAGGGGGCTATAGTAATGGGATGTCTTACCAGGACTATTTCTTTATTATAGTTAAATCCATGCACATTGGGTGGGCAGCACTGCCAAGAGTAGCAGAGTCAGCCCCCAGTCCAAGAGAACTAGGCAGCCACTTGGGCTGGCCTCTGGATCCATTGCCAGAGTGGGACTACTGAACCATGTGCTGGTAGTCACAAGGGCATTGCTGGATGAGGCCCCAGATTTGTAACCACCCAGTGGGTTCACCTTGCCGCTGTGTGGACAGAACCAATTTATCATGTTGGGAATTACAATAGAGAAAGAGTAATTCATGCAGAGCCTTCTTTGCAGTAGACTGGAGTTTTATTGTTACTCACATCAGTCTCCAATAAAGTTTGACTAATGAGGTACAGTGGTGTATGCTAAAACCAAGAGAGCATGCAAATGCATTTGTAAAGGTCCTGTCCTAATTTTCTTCATCAATAGATAAATTTTTGTAAGTCTGCCTTTCAATCATATTATATAGAAAGTAGTAGGCCAGGTGCAGTGGCTCATGCCTGTAATCCCAGCACTTTGGGAGGCTGAACTGGGTGGATCATTTGAGGTCAAGAGTTCAAGACCAGCTTGGCCAACATGATGAAACCCCATCTGTACTAAAAATACAAAAATTAGCTGGGTGTGGTGGTGTGGGCCTGTAGTCCCAGCTACTTAGGAGGCTGAGGCAGATGAATTACTTGAACCTGTGAAGTGGAGGTCGATATTGCACCACTGCACTCCAGCCATGGTGACAGAGTGAGACTCCATCTCAAAAAGAAGGAAAGAAAGAAACAAAGTGGCAATTAACTTACTTTTCTGTTATTTGTTGAGAAAAAATGGGGTGGAGATGTAAATCCTACAGAAATTTGTAAGTTTTAGAACATACTCATTCACTTGTTTCAATATCTTCAGGATATGAGAAGTTGGGCTTGTTTAATATCTCATATTAAATTTTCTGTTTAACCCTCTTTCTCTCTCTCTACCCCTCCTCTTCTCCTTCCCTTACCCCTGCTTGAAGCTATTATCTTTTAGTGAATTGGGTGTATGCCTAAAATCGCGGTCAAAAAACCTAGAAAAACTAGGATTATAAGTGTAGTCTCTTAACTCACAGAGCATATCAGTTGCTCAATAAAATTTTTCCCATGAATTAAAAAAAATCATAATAAAGCAGTCTAATATAGTGGATAAATCTATCCATTTTGGAATCAGGTTCACATCTCAGTTCCGCAACTTGCTAGCTTCGCAGCTTGGGTCAAGCAGTGTATCTCTCCAAGCCTCAGTTCCCTCATATGTAATATATGATGTATTAATGTCTACTTCAGAAGATTAGATGAGATGAGTAAAGTACCTGACGTGTTTGTGGGTGTGTGTATGTAGATATAGCATGTATGGGATATAGTAATTTAATATTTTATTATTATTCCTATAACAATATCTTTTTTATTTTTTTGTTTTGTAGATGCGGCTACCATGGTCTCTTGCTGTGCTATTTCTTGGTCAACTGTTGATTATCAAGTAGCTTTAAGAAAATCCTTACCTGACAAAAAGCTTCTTAATGGATTATGTCCCAAAATCACATATCTCTTTTACAAGTTTTTTACATTATTATCGTGGATGCTGAGTGTTGTACTTCTACTATTCTTAAATGTTAAGATTGCTTTATTTATGTTGTTATTTCTTTGGTTGTTAGGTGTAATATGGGCATTTAAAAAGAACACCCAGTTTTGTACTTCTGTAAGTATGGAATTCTTATATAGGATTGTTGTTGGATTCATTCTTATCTTTACGTTTTTTAATATTAAGGGACAGAATACCAAGTGTCCAATGTCTTGTTATTATATTGTTAGGGTACTGGGCACTTTGGGCATATTGATTGTATTCTGGGTTTGCCCTCTCACTATTTTTAATTCAGACTATTTTATACCTATCAGTATCACTATAGTTCTTACTCTTCTTCTTGGAATTCTTTTTCTTATTGTTTATTATGGGACTTTTCACCCCAACAGAAGTGAAGAAACAAAATGTGATGAAATTGATGGAAAACCAGTTCTAAGAGAATGTAGAATGAGATATTTCCTAATGGAATAAGCTATTCATTTATGATATATATTTTCTTATATTTTATTTCATTGGTTAGTAAAGAAAATGTGTATTATGTGAGTGTATTGTCTCTTATTTTTGCCACCTTTAATTTGAAATTAATTCTGTGAAATAGGAGGTACATAGTAGTATTTTATTTTTAAAATTAATTTCTCATTTGATTTTGAAGATCTTGGGTACTCAGATATCTTTCTGCTGCCTGGTAGAGCTGCCATCTTGAGCCTGAAATGTAAGAAATGGTCTGGTTTTCATAATGAGAAGGCTGGAATTGAGCTTCCTTCCCATTTTTCTTCCTTGTTCCTGAACTAATACTACTGTACCTGTTGTGGAGGACTGCAAAGGGAAGAGAAAAGCAGAACACTTTATGATTTTTTCCTTTATTGTCTTCAGTGCATATATTTGCAGTTGGGGACAGGTTGAGTAGAGGAAAAGGGAAGGAAGGGAAAGAAGAAAACAAATTTTTAGCATCTGCTACGCTTTCATCCATGAAATCTCCAATTCATAAGTACGAAAGAGAATTGGTATGCAATTGAGAGGTTTGACATTTCATTATTTACTGATTTCCTAGCTTGTCTGAATTAATGCACTGTTAACATAATTATATTATTCCTATTTGTGCTAGAATAGTTGTATCTAAGTCATATTTTTAAATTGTTTTTATTTTTAAAAATTATGGTAAAAACATATAAAATTTACCATCTTAATCACTTTTGTGTGTATAGTTCACCAGTGTTAACTGTATTCACCTCGTGCAACAGATCTCAAGAACTTTTTCATCTTGTAAAGCTAAGACTCTCTATTTATTGAACAAATCCCCATTTCCTCCTTTCCCAAGTCCCTGGCAACTACGATTATAATTTTTCGTTTCTATGAGTCTGACTACTTTAGATACCTTATTGCTATGGTTTGAATGTGCCCCCAAAATTTCATGTGTTTGAAACTTAATCTCCAAATATGTATGTTGATGGCATTTGGAAATGGTGGGGACTTTGGGCAGTATTTAAGATTAGATTAGATAAGGTTATCAGGATGGGTTCCCCATGATGGGACTAGTGGTTTTATAGGAAAAGGAAGAGAGACCTGAGCTAGCACACTCTTGTCCTCACTATTTGATGCCCTCTACCATGTTATGATACAACAAAGAGGCCCTCACCAGATGCCAGTGCTATGCTCTTGGCCTTCCCAGGCTCTAAAACCATGCGTAAAGTAAACTTTTCTTTATAAATTACCCAGTCCCTGGTATTCAGGAGAAAACACACTAAGACACATATAAGTGTAGTCATATTGTATTTGTCTTTTGTTACTGGCCTATTTCATTGAGTATAATGTCTCTGAGCTTCATATTTTAGCATGTGACAAGATTTACTTTTTTTTTTTTAAGGCTGAATAGTGTTCCATTGTATGTATGTGCCACATTTTCTTTATCCATTCATTCATTGATGAATGGATTGACGAATGGATATTTGGGTTGCTTCCACCTCTTGGCTATTGTGAATAGTGCAACAGTGAACTTGGATTTACAAATACTTCTTTGAGATTCTGCTTTTGGTTCTTTTGGATATATACTCAGAAGTAGGATTACTTGATCACATGGTAATTCTGTTTTAAATCCTATTCAGAAGTAGGATTTCTTGATCATATGCTAGTTGTGTTGAGGAACCTTCATACTGTTTCCATAATGGCTGCACTATTTTACAATCCCACCGATAGTGCATAAATGCCCCAGTTTCTCTATGTCCTCACCAACACATGTTGTATTCTGTTTTTTTTTTCTTTTGATAATGGTCACCCTAATGAATATGAGATGATATTTCTTTGTAGTTTTGATTTGGATTTCTTTAATGATTGGTGATGTTAAGCATCTTTTTATGTGCTTATTGGCCATTCATATATCTTCTTTGAGAACTGTCTATTTCTAAGAGTATGTAAATAATTTCTATAACTGGACAACAACAAAAAAGCCTAAATAACCTGATTAAAACTGGGCAAAAACTCAGTAATATGTCCCCTATACTACTCTTTGAGAAAGTTAATCAGTGTGAACCATATACTCTTGTAGGAGGCAGGAAATCTTTGGTTTACCTTGGGCACATAATTCTTATATAATTACATAGCTCCCTGTTTCTGCATGTTTGTTGTATATGTTTGCATGTATGTTTGTGGGGTGAAGGTGAGAAAAGAAGTTAAGCTGCTTGGTCTCCATTGATTGCCTTTTCTCTTGAGTATGGGTTACATTTTCACGTTTGCTCATATGGCTACTATTTTTGAATTGTGTCCTTGATGGTATGACTGATACATTTTAGATCCTCTTGATTATTTTTGTTCTTCAGAGGAACATTTTTTTTTTTCTTTTCAGCAGGCAGTAACTTGAACTTTAAGCTCTGAACTCTAAACAATCTTTATTTAACCTTCAGTGGGCTGCATAGGGTGTTCCCTTATATGCATAGTTCAAGGTCAGCCTAAAATTTGGGCAGAATTAATATATGAAGTGAGACTTCCTTTCTGTTGGTTCTATTTTTCTCCTAGATTTTCCACCTCATTTTTCAGCAGTTGTGGTCATCGCATACTCCATTCTCTGGGCCTTAAAACCACTAAAACTGTAGGTTTTTAAATTTGGATTTTGTGTAGTTGATGTGCTGAGTGGGGTCTGCTCTGACTCAGTGCCATTCCTTCTTCCAGATGTCGACCACTCTCCAGTGTCTGCTTGCTTTTTTTTTGCTGTCAAGTGCTTTCAGGTAATTGTCAGTATTTTGTCCAGAGTTCATAGTGGTTATTTGTGAGAGGATTTGTGCAATAAGAGATATACCCACCTTCTTATTAATCTATAACATTTTCAGTAATCTTTCTGTAATATTTGCCAGTCTTTCTGCCAGCATTTTGGGAGGCTGAGGCAGGTGGATCATCTGATATCAGGAGTTCAAGACCACCCTGGCCAACATGGTGAAACCCCATCTCTACTAAAAATACAAAAATTAGCCCGGCTACCTCTAATCCCAGCTACTTGGGAGGCTGAGGAAGGAGAATCACTCGAACTTGGGAGGCAGAAGCTGCAGCGAGCAGAGATCATGCCATTACACTCCAGCCTGGGTGACAGAGCGAGACTTCACCTCAAAAGTAAAATCTTTCTGTAATATTTACTTGGACAAGATGTATAAAGCTTTTTAAATTTAACATTTAGTTCTCTCTCATCTCTAATGACACTGATAAAAACTGCAATATAGATATTATTGTCATCACTACCCTTTAACTGGGAGAACCAAGGTTCATAGAGTTTAAATAATTTGCCAAAGTTCACACAGATCAAATCTCAGGATTTCTCACCTCAAATCCAGTTTATTTTTTGAAACCATGCTGTCTTTATCTGATGAATAGGTTACCTAGAGCTATGCTAAGTTATGCATGATTTAAAAATTATTATTTTTGTGATAGAGTCTTGCTCTGTCACCCAGGCTGGAGTGCAGTGGTGTGATCGTGGCTCACCACAACCTCAACCTCCTGGGTTCAAGTGATTCTCGTGCTTCAGTCACCCAGGTAGCTGGGACTACAGGTGTGCACCACCATGCCTGGCTAATTTTTGTATTTTTAGTAGAGATTGGGTTTTGCCATGTTGGCCAGGCTGGTCTTAAACTCTTGGCCTCAAGTGATCCACCTGCCTTGGCCTCCCAAAGTGCTGGGATTACAGGCATGAGTTACCATGCCAGGCCTAAATTATTTATTTGCCTATGATATAATTTTTAAAAACGTTTAGCCTACATATTTTCCAGCTTTAGCTCAAGGTAGAGCTTGAATTGTGTCTCTGTTAGCTTGAACAATCCCGTTAACAATATATGTAATGGGAAAAAGGGTAGGAAATAATGTATTATACATCTACTAAGGAGTTCGAATGCTAAGTATCCCACAGAAACATAGATTAAGTATTCATTCCATCCAACAAACGTTTTCTTATTGGTTTTATAGCCAAGAAATAAAGGGGAAGATCCTGGTCAGATGTTTTGGCTAAATAGTAAGCTTTTAAAATGAACTTTTAATATAGAATGAACTTAATTAATTTTATCCTCTTATGTTCTATATGGTTCGGTCATGGCTTTACAACACTTAAATTTCCACAACTAAATTATGAGATTTTTCTAGATTATTATGTGCATATAAGAGGCCTTTTGAAATTTAAAAAAGCAGAAAAATAATTATGAGCAATATTTTCATAAAAGAACACTCATATGCACCTATATACATTCACATCTTCAGATATGAATACTATCCTCATAGACTAGTGGTTCTCAACCTTTAGTGTGCATCAGAATCACCTGGAGTGCTTATTGAAACACATTGCTGGCCCCTACCCCGAGTTTCTTTTTAGCAGGCATTAGGTAGGACTTGAAATATGCATGTTTAAAAAAGTTCCCGGATGTTGCTGATGCTGGTGTTCTCCCCTCCCTTCTTTGAGAATCCCCGTTGACTTTTGAAGGCTATCAGTTAATAACTAGTTTCAAAACAGCCACTAGAGGGCAGTGGAACCACAGAGAAATTGGACGTGCTGCTTAATTTGTTCCCTGGTTTATATGATCAACTATATATTGCTGCAAGCCTGGAGAACACCAAAGCCAAACATTAATTTCTAGCACAATATCTTGATGTTCATTTCTAATTGTAAATCTTGTCCTTGTAATTGTGGGGGTCAGAGATAATATAATACGTCTCTAACTCTGCTGGCTGATGCCCCACTTAATGATTATAATAAATTCAAAGTTGGACTTTTCTAGGTGAGCATTTGCAGATATACATAGTAGTCTTTGGAGTTAACATGAACCATTTGTGGTTTCCCACAGAGGCTATATTTTGCTATTAGATCTAGTTTGTTATAGAGATGATTATGTAGTTAAATGGTATCCTTCGTTTTAAGATTTGTGTTTTTTATTTTGTGAAAGTGGGACTTAAGTACTTTTAAAAAATGTTAAACAGAATATAATACATAATTATATGTTATATACAGTAAAATAAACAGCATGTAGTATATAATTATATTCCATAAAGAATATGATTATACATTCATATCTT